AAATCCCTCTATGGTCTTCGTCAGGCTCCACGGTGTTGGTTTGCCAAACTCACCTCTGCGTTAAAACATTTTGGGTTCCACCAATCCAAGGCTGATTACTCTCTGTTTACTCTTCTGCGCGGCTCCATCGAGCTTCGTGTGCTGGTATATGTGGATGATCTCGTGATAGCAGGAAATAATGAAGAATTCATTGGCAAATTTAAACAGTATCTCTCTGATTGCTTTCATATGAAAGATCTTGGTCTTTTAAAATATTTTTTGGGCGTAGAGGTTGCCCGAAATTCGAAAGGGATTTTCATCTGCCAGCGCAAATATGCTCTTGATATACTTTGTGAAACTGGATTTCTGGGTGCTCGACCGGCTTCCACTCCTCTTCCTCAGAACCAACGACTGGCTCTAGTAAGTGGCCCACTTCTCACTAATCCAGAGCGTTATCGCAGACTTGTAGGGCGCCTCATCTATCTCACGATCAGTCGTCCTGACTTGGCATATGCGGTTCATGTGTTGTCTCAATTCATGGGGGAGCCGCGGCAGGAACACTGGGACGGGGCGACCCAGGTTCTACGGTACATCAAGGCATGTCCCGGGCAAGGATTGTTTCTTCCAGTACAGAGTGATCTTACCCTTAAAGCTTTCTGTGACTCTGATTGGGCTGGGTGTCCCTTGACTCGACGTTCTGTTACTGGCTACTTTATCACTCTTGGCAATTCTCCGGTATCTTGGCGAACAAAGAAACAAAGTGTCGTTTCCCTATCTTCGGTTGAGGCCGAATACAGGGCTATGGCAACCACTGTTTGTGAACTAAAATGGCTGAAATCTCTGCTTCTCTCCCTTGGTGTGCGTCACAAACAACCCATGCGGTTGTTCTGTGATAATCAGGCAGCCCTCCATATTGCAGTTAATCCTGTCTTCCATGAGCGTACGAAACACATTGAAATTGATTGCCACTTTGTGCGTGACGAAATCCAACAAGGTGTTTTGTGTACTCGCCACATCTCCACCAATGAAAACCCGGAAGATCTCTTCACAAAGGCTTTGGCTTCCGCTCCGTTTTCTCATTTGCTGTCCAAGCTGGGCGTCCAGAATCCGCATGCTCCAGCTTGATGGGGGGTGTTGGGCCGTGTTCCTTGGACCACAAGGCAAGAAGGAAAGCAAATCCCATTCTAAGTGGGATTGCTCTTGATTTGTTTCCTAATTCATATTTAGTGATTTGTTTCCATGTAGGAGTAGAATTCCTTTTGTGTTTTGGTCTTTTTCCTCTCCTATAAATAAAGGAGAAACCTCTTGTAATTGGTAGAACAATTCAATATACAAATTATTTTCTCTCTTATTAATTTTTACATTTATTATTTATGATTTATCTTGAAATGAAATTATTATTAAATATTTATTACGCAGTATGATTCTTTTAATTATGTATCACTTTCACTTATAATGTTTACATGAGCATTCTTTACAATTTCACCATCATTGAGTAAATTTAATTATAGAATAGAGATATATATTTTTTAGAATATTCATTTGTTCCAAAAAAAGTTTATCATTTCTTTTTCATTTAGATATATGTTTTTTAGAATATTCATTTATTCATTTTTTCAATATTCATTTCTCCCATCCTTAAAACAAATTTATCATTTCTTTTTCTATTTCTTCCAAAAAAAAAAGTTTGATTTTTTTTAGAGATAAAAAAGGAGAATTTACGTAAATAGAATTAAAACATAATAACTTACTCTCAATAGCATCACATGTGTTTTTCCTAATTTAGCACTTTTAGTCATTTTCCATTAGTCAGTATTCAAGTAAATATTGGTCATCATTGGATATTAGGGACATTATGAAGTGCTATTTAAGGATTAAAACAATTTAAGTGATATTTAGGAAATAATGACTTAAGTTTTAATACTATTTAGTGCAAATATTTTAATACTATTGAAAGCATTTTTTTCTAAACTAATTATTTACTCTTTTCCCATATATATCTTTTTTTCATTTGAATTTTCACAATTTTCAATGTTACAATTTGATAATGCATATCTCAATTTCTATATAAATTTATATAATTAAAAAATCAGAGAAGTGGATCGAAAGAGATTATAAAGAACAAGAACTCAAGAATTGTATGTTTTATTAGCTTGATTCAGCTTGAGGATCCTCATTCGGGCCCCCTCTATTTATGCATGATTTCTTGAGTAACTAAGGTAGTTCATAATCACAGAAGTCTGATCCGTCAATGGCGCGATCCACTTTCTTCGGCTATATCCCCGCCTTCCGCTGAATTTCCTCTTGCGGATTGGCTCTTCCAGTTGTCTTCCTTTTTGGATTCGCCCGGGCCCAACTTCTTGGGCCGGCCCAGAGTTAATGCACCTTGGCTAAATTGACCCAGCGCCTTCCGGGTATGGTGTTTGGGCTGCCCGTTGGGTATCGGCCCATCACAAGCCCCCCAACTTCTCATTCCTCAGACGGGCCATGTTGAGGGATGGTGAGTTTATGAGGTCCACGTGGGCGCCCCCTCAACAGATCTGAGCCGTCTCTTGGTCTTCGCGTGATGGTTGGCACGATCTCCACTAAATACAATCATGACTTGTTGCTTTGCCTTCCACCCCACTCTGATAAAACCGCCGCTGGACGCCATTTTCCTCTACCTGCAACACTTGTTTCTTCAGGTCAGTTCTCCCTTTGCCATCATGATTATTTCTGATTCCGACTCGGCCTCTCCAATGTCCCATTCTCGCCAGTCCGATCATTCGGCCCCTAGCCAAGATCAAGGCAAGTCCAGTTCTCCTCAGCCGTCATCGGCGGCGGCGCTTGGCCAAAAATTGCGCCGGCTAAGGAAGCAATTTCCCTCCTCGACCCCTGCACCGAAAGGCACTATGGTCGAATTGGAGGAGAATATCATGGTGTTGTGCCATTGTCAAGTCAATGACCGAGGGTTCACCGATGCAACTGACATGTCGGCCCCTCTATTGAAGTCCGGCGGCCTTCCATGACCCAGACCGCCCTGGATGCTCCCCCATGGTTTTTCACTGTTCACCTGGCTTCTTTGAAGAAGGGGTTGCGGTTCCCTTTGTACTCGTTGTTGATCGAGTTTCTCAACGAGGTGGACCTCATTCCTTGCCAACTAGTTCCAAACTCCCACCGGTACATCACCTGTTACCTGATCAAGTGCAAGGAAGCCGGGGTGGAGCCCACCTTAGACCATTTTCTCTTCACTTTCAAGCTGGCCAAAGGCCACGAGGATTGGGCGTCTTATGCCAGTGTTGGGGACTTGTCGTGCGGTCCAAAACAAATTAAAAATTTATAAAGTATCCTTAGCTAACCCCCAATATATAATCAAATAAAAACTATAGCTAGGGCAAGCAAGGGTCGATCCCACAGAGAAATGTTGTACTTTTTAAAACCAATTTAGCATGCAAACACAATGTCACGAAATAAACAAAAAACTAACTACTACACATATTAGAACACTTATAAAACTTATAATAAAACTTATAACTAAATAAATTTAAAAAATTATAAATATAACTTATATAAACAAAGAACTATAATATAACTAAAAACATAAAACACATACTTAAGATATACTAAAAAAAAGGTATAAAAACTTATATTCATAACTTGAAACACGAGGGGGGGGGGATTGAATAAAAAGTAAATATTTTTGGTTTTTATTTTCTTATTTTTTTGGTTCTTTTTTATAAAATGGGGGAAAACAAGCTCAAAAGATAATCAACTTCTTCAACCGAGGTAACCCGAAAAACACCGCCAAGAACCCGAAACAAAATTAAAAAACGAACACAAATCTAACATTACACGTATAATAGGCACGTAGACAATATATTACGTAACTTACGCACTTAAGAATAGGAAAAACAATCAAAGGCCGAGTCGATTCATTTCCTTAACCACGATATGGAGGATTGTCAACTCTCCACACGGCCCGGAGTCATGCAATTCAAAGGCCCGTTTTGAAATATACCTTAGAACCCCAACTCTCTATTCAAGCATGAAAACATACTTCCACTATAGAAAAAGTTTATAAAAGAGAGAATCTATTATGCATTCAACTCTCATACATAATCTATTCACAAACCGCCAATACCTTATGTATTTTAATAAACTTTTTCTCCTAATGATGAGCACATTTCACAGATTTCCATGAACTTCTCAAACCAATGACGTTTTTTCTATTCACATAGAGGAACACAATGTATTTTCAATAAAATGAGAATTGTTTATTGCACTTAAACAATCTCAATTTAAAGAAAATGGAAAACAAACATATAACATAACAAAATCACTTTATAACGAATTCTAAAGAAAATGAATCAACTTATGGGGCTAAGAAGTCCAAAATCCTTAAAATCAACGAACACAAGCACAACAAAGAAACACATATGAATTCGGAGTTCATTTAACTATCTTATGGAGCTAAAATAGCTTTAACAAAAACCGAATTCTACATAAAACCTACTTATGAATTTGAAACAATTCAACCAATTTAACAACAACTTGTGCAATAATTGAAGTAAATAAGAAAGAATCAATTCTCATTCATAAGGGATTATATATAAACATTTAAAACAAGAACATACACCCAAAAGAACACCAACCGTTATATTTTTTTCAGATTCTATTACATGAACAAGTTAAAAAGTGATAAATTGAAAAAAAAAACAACACTTGAACATAGAAACAACAAAAGAATTGAAAATTTAAAGGGTTGACTTCCGGATTAAGTCCGGAAGCCAATTTATTTGGATACCTATAGAAGAAGAAGATGAAGAAACTGACAAATTGGAGCTCTCGTTCGTTTCCCCCTCCTCTGCTGCTATTCCTTGTCCAATTTATAGACGAGAGGAATTTTTTCCCGTTGAAGCGTTTTGAGTGAAGAGAGAGAACAAGGAGCCATTGTTGACTTGATTTGGAGAGCAATTCATGGCCGAACGTTGAAGGAGATGCGTTACTGCCGATTTGAATAGGTCGCTGCTCCTCTCCTGGTCTTGCGCTAGCTTCAATCGCAGGAAGCATTTTTTTTTTCTTACGTGAGTTTGAATTTGGGGGAAGGAGACTTGGGCTTATCTTTGTTTAATTGAGTTGTTGATGATGGGTTTGGGCTCCGGTCCAAACTCAATCTTCTCTTTTCAAACTTGAGCTTCAATTTGGCCTTTTACTGCAATATATTCCAAAACAAATAGGATATCTGGTAACTTGGGTTAGGAAAAATAAAAATATTAAAATAATAACATGTAAAAAAAGATTAAAAACAACTATTTTTGAATGGAAATAAAAGATTTGTAATAATAGGAATTAAAATAAAACTAAGCTAAACAAATGAAAATTAAACAATAAAAGTACTAAAAATGCCAAAAAGAGAATTAAAAATATTAACCCAAACCCGAGTTATCAGCCAGCTTCTCCCAGCGATCAAGCAAACTCTTCACTAGCGACAAGAAAGGGTCGACCAAGGACTGGAAACCCATTTTTGTCTTTGTCTTGACGGGGCCCGAATCTCCTTTCACAGGTTCCGGGAACCCATCTTTCCGTTGCGTCCCGTCCCCCAAGCCAACTCCTGCTCTCCTGTCCATCACCAGACAACTCTACGGCCGAGGAGCCGTCGAGATCAAATCGGTGGTGACCAAGGAATCCCTCGCAAAGCTGGTGTTTTAGTTCGTCAAAGACGAACATCGTCACCAACCTGACATGCTGAGGGACCTCCATAGGGGGGTTGCCGACTGTGGACCTTTTGGTAAACACTTTCCCTTCTGAGTTGGGGATTTCAACTTCGTCTTTTTAGTACTAACTGCTCCACCCATTTCCAGTCGAACAAGGAGGATTAGGCGACGAGATTGAGGGAGATCTTTTGATCGGCCATTTTCTTGAAGGGAGGAAGAGGAAGAGAGATGCGGCTCGTCAGGGCAAAAGCAAGCACTCTTCCTCGCGTCGTGAGGATTGCTTCCGGCTTGATCAGGTCGTGATCGAGGTGGAGGACCAGAACGAGGCGATCCCAGAGATGGGAACGGTAGCCACCAACCCCCTGCCGTGTTCCATGCTTCCTGGGAGCGACCTAGCAGGGTCCTCTCAGAGGGCTATCTCGGAGCGACCTCCCTCTCCACCAGCAGTGACCTACGAGGTGGCGACCGAGAGCGGCTCAACGAGGTTTAGCAATCCCCCTCCGTCCCCAAGTTTGGGGGACGTTCAGCTGGAGACCTTAATCACCCTCCCTGCTCACGATCGAGCCCGCATCTCGGCCAGTTCTAACGGTGATCTCTCCAACATGGTTCTTCTGAAGCTTAGTCAGGTATCCGCCTTGGTTTTCTTTTCAGCCCCATTTGTTCTACCTTCCTTGTCCCTCCCCTTTGTTTTATACCTCCGACTCTTCACGCGGAGGCTAAGCAGAAGGAGCTGCAGGATGAGGTCGCTCGCCTCGCAAGGGATCTGGAGGAAGAGAATGGTCGCTCTAATCAACTGGAGGAGGAGAAGACCTCGCTGTCTTCCGAGGTTATATCCGTTTATGTCGATGACGGCTGAGGAGAACTGGTCTGGCCTTGATCTTAGCCAGGGGCCGAATGATCGGCCTGGCGAGAATGGGACATTGGAGAGGCCAAGTCGAAATCAGAAATAATCATGATGGCAAAGGGAGAACTGACTTGAAGACTAAGAAAAACGGGTCGGGTAGCGGCAAAGCAACAAGTGAAGAAAAAAGTGTTGCAGGTAGAGGAAAATGGCGTCCAGCGGCGGTTTTATCAGAGTGGGGTGGAAGGAAAAGCAGCAAGTCATGATTGTATTTAGTGGAGATCGTGCCAACCATCACGCGAAGACCAAGAGACGGCTCAGATCTGTTGAGGGGGCGCCCACGTGGACCTCATAAACTCCCCATCCCTCAACATGGCCCGTCTGAGGAATGAGGAGTTGGGGGGGCTTGTGATGGGACGATACCCAACGGGCAGTCCAAACACCATACCCGCAAGGCGCTGGGTCAATTGAGCCAAGGTGCATTAACTCTGAACCGGCCCAAGAAATTGGTCCCGTGCCAATCCAGCAAGGAAGACAACTGGAAGAGCCAATCTGCAAGAGGAAATTCAGTGGAAGGCGGGGATGTAGCCAGAGAAAGTGGATCGCACCATTGACGGATCAGACTCTTATGATTATGAACTACCTTAATTACTAAAGAAATCATGTATAAATAGAGGGGGCCCGAATGATGATCCTCAAGCTGAATCAAGCTAATAAAACATACAATTCTCGAGTTCTTGTTCTTTATAATCTCTTTCGATCCGCTTCTCTGAATCGGATCATTTGGTGGATCAATTGTCCATCAGTATGTACGTATGTATGTATGTATATGTGTGTGTGTGTGTGTGTGTGTGTCTATATATATGTGTGTGTGTGTGTGTGTGTGTGTGTGTGTGTGTGTGTGTGTGTGTGTGTGTGTGTGTGTGTGTGTGTGTGTATGTGTATAGACACACACACACTCCGTATATATTGTTTCTCCCATAGTCCCATATATTTGTTGTGTTGGTGTTTGAAAGCGTTTTTCTAAACTAATTATTTACTCTTTTCCCATATATATCTTTTTTTCATTTGAATTTTCACAGTTTTCAATGTTACAATTGGATAATACATATCTCAATTTCTATATAAATTTATATAATTAAAAAATATGATATTTCAAAAGTACATTTCAAAACGAATTTATTGGTACTAAATTTATATCACAATTGAATGTATTCTTTCGGTAGTTTGTGATTAAATTTTTATGTTTTTAACTACAAAGTCAAATTAGAAAAAAAAATGTGAGGAGAGAGAGAGTAAAAAAATATTAGAACATAGCATGTAGTCATTGATGCATGGCTAACTTTGCACATCATCATCGCTTATATAAATTAAATAATGATATCTTTCCCCCCTTTAATGATATAAATATCATTTCTGACCCTCAAATGTGGGGATCCGAATTCTCTCACTAGAAAGCTCTTGTATATTTTTCTATTGTACTCTTGCCTATATTCAATAACAATCAGACTTTAGGTGTTCCACCTACAGGTCTCCCGGTTAGCATTTGTTTCCTTTGTCTTTTGTTTATTTTACCTTAGTAAATCACACCATTTCTGCCTCATTGGCAGAGCGATAAACAAAGTGAAAATGAAAGATCTCATTGCACAAGCCAATAGAGATTTACAATCAGTAATAATCGACGAGAAATAAGACCAATCACCAGAAGAACTATTTAGTGCATCCACAACCTTCTTACAATAGGTTTCGATCTCTACCCGCTTCTAATCTTTTGAGTTGATCCAACTAAAGGCCTCCTTAACTTCCACCGCCTCTGCCTCCCTAGGACCGTAGCTGCCCCTGAAAGATATATTTCTAGCTGCAAAAAATGCTCCAAGGCCATTGCAAGTGATGAAACCCACTCCCATCGTATCATCCACCAAACCTGTTGATGCATCAATTGTAACACCCTGTCCATAAACATCCGCTCATAGGATTGTAGATTGGCCCCACAAACCAACACAAGTCTTTCCCACACACTTTGTACTCACTCGTGCGCACATAAGGAAATTTCCCAGGGGTCACCCATCCTAGAATTGGTCCAGGTCAAGCACGCTTAACGTTGGAGATTCTACGTGATGAGCTCTCAAAAAGAAGATGCACTTTGTTGGTATGAGTAGTTCTATCAATCTTTTTGAGCCTTTTCTTTTCCTAATCCATTTATTTTCAAATAAAGGTATTACATTCACCCGCACTTAAGAATGCAACGACCTTGTTGCATCCTTTTTTTCAAACCCCTAGATCTTCCCCGCTAGGTGAACTAAGCTCTTTTGGTCCATCACGGTCGCGGGGTTTCTCTGATACCATTTGTAACACCCCAGCCCCCACCGTGGCAGTAAGTGTCCACTCATAGGATTGTGACTGGCCCAACAAACCAACACAAGTTTTTCCCGCACACTTTGTCCTCACTCGTGCGCGCCCAAGAAACTTTTCCAGGGGTCACCCATCCTAGAATTGCTCTAGGTCAAGCACTCTTACATTTGGAGTTTCTAGGTGATGAGCTCTCGAAAAGAAGATACACCTTATTGGTATGAGTAGTACTATCAATCTTTTTGAGTTTTTTCTTTCCCTAATCCATTTATTTTCAAATCAAGATATTACATCAATATTAACCTTCACAAATCCATGGGCTTACAAGTTTATTTATTTTTTTTTGTAAAACACCTAATTCTTTTATACAGTAATAACGAAGTCCTAAGTTCCATAAAATAAATGTGGACTTTAGAACCATATAAGAATTTGTCTACTTAAATAAGTACAATTGAGCTAGTGTTTAGTTATTGGCAAAACAATTCTCCCAAAAATTTGCATTCTAATTTCCTATGTTTGGTAACTTAAATGATAGAAAAATATTTCCCTGAAAAACAATATTTTCTCTAAAAATGAGAAAAAAAATCCATTTTATTTCGATGAAATTTTCCGAGTCACTCTTCGTCCTCGTCCCCCCCCCCA